TGCAGATAGTTCTCCCTTTTCCCCGTTTCCCAGTAGGATTCACCACGAGGGATTTGCTCAGTTTGTGGTTTCCTTTTGCTTTCCTGATGAGCAGCAGGTCAAGGAGAAGGAATATAATGAGGACTAACAGCTCAAGCTACATGTCAGCCTCAGGAGACTTGAGACAACTCTGAGCTCATCCGAGTGGGAAGCAGGAGCTGGTAATGCTGCTGAGGAAGAGGACTCACCTGCTGCCCCCAGCCCCGTGCCAACAGAGTGTGGGAGACAAGGAGAGGGGAAAAAAAAAATCACTCAAAAGTTGTCTGTGGACAAAACAAACTCACACTCTGCTTATCCCCAAACGTCCTCAGGGCTGTGACCAGCAGGACTCAAAATTCCCTGGTCCTGTCAGTGGGACCGCACGCTCTGCCTCCCTGCAGTGGGTCTGGGAAGGGTTTCTCACTTGAAGGGTTTTATAAACCTTCGGTCCTTCTCTTGTCTTCTGAAAAGTTCCCAAGTTGTCTTTTTTTAAAAAATAGCAGTTACAAAAATCATCATCCCCAATTTGTACTCTGTGCTGACCGTTTTCTGTCCCACAAAGTGCAGATTTGTACTCTGTGCTGACCGTTTTCTGTCACGCAGCCTTTTTTTTTTTTAAATAGCAGTTACAAAAATCATCATCCCCGATTTATAATCTGTGCTGACCATTTTCTGTCACGCAGCATCACTTCTTGCCAACTATTATTTGTTATTTTATCTTCTGGTAAAGGACTGTGAGCAGATATTGCAGTTTGTTTGTTTTTATTTTGGCGAGTTCTTTTTTTTTTTTTTTGAAGCCCAGATAAACTCATTTATTTCTCTGGCATGCAGGGAATATCAGTGTATTAAAAAGGAAAAGGTTTCCTTTACAGAAACATTGGTCTGTCATTACTGTGTTCATTAAAAGTTTCCAGCATATTGTTTTAAAATCTGATCTTGAAGTAAAGCGAATTGGTTTGTATTTTGTCTTTCAACGTTAATATAAACTTGACCATATTCGAGATACATCACTCATTAATATATATTGCTGATATAATTTCTTGCGTTGTGGTGTTTTGTTTTTTTTTTTTCCTAACATGTCTGTCTTGTTTTTATGTGACACAGTTGGCTGGGGAAGCGATCAAGGGATTGGAGGATTTGGAGAGGAACCAGGAATTAAAGCACAGCTAACGAACCTTATTCGATCTGTACGAACCGTTATGAGAGGTGAGGTGACGGATCTTTTGTTTAAACATTATTGTCTGTAAAGTTGGGGTTTTTTCTATGCTTTTCACATCAGTATTTTGACTCTTTTACCAAACAGCTGCTATTTCTACTCATTATTTCCAGTCTATCCTCCCCTTCACAGCTAAGGTGCCTTAAGTTTGATAAAGTGTAAAACATTCCCTGGCTCTGGCTTGTGGTGCCGCTGCTGTGCCTTGGCTTTCCTCAACGTTTGGGAGCTGAGGGGAAGCCTGGTCATCAATCAGAGCGTGCAATTAGCTTCACCTTCGCTAAATTAAATTTTATCTGAAGTACCTGGTGAGGGAAGTGTAATTCCTGGGATTCTTAAAGGTAAATCAGGTGCCTCAAAAGATGGGGGAAAAAAAATTGGCTCTTAATTTGTACATTACTGATAGTTTTCTTCACTATAAAGCACACCCAGAATTCCTTTTATAGGTGATAACAAACAGGAATTAACAAATCTTACCTGTCTTGCCCACCACAGAGTAAAAACTGATGTGTTTCTTCCAAATCAGAGTAAAGCCAAGGATAGAAACTGACTTTGATATGGTTTTGTTTCATTTAGAGAAAGGATTGTTTTGGTTAAAGTTAAAACATGATGGCCCACATAAAAATATTTATACTGTTGCTTCCTACTAATTTTTAGTATCCTAAGCCTTGATCCTGGCTCCTTCCACTAAATCCTGATTTTGCCTAGGAAAATTAAGTGTATTTTCAAAATTTTATTTTGCTCTTTTAAAGATAGTCCCCCAAGATGATACAAAGTTCTGTCACCCTGTGATGCGCAAAATAAAATTTTCACAATTACTTCTCTTTTCTTTCCCTGCAGTGCCACTAATAGCAGTGAACTCCGTTACAATCGTTCTCCTCCTCTTGTTTGGTTGAAGATCTACCTGTTGTGAAAGCTTTTGGACATCCAAAGAAGCGAGTCGCTAACCATCACTGCTCCCAAGAGTTTTCTGGGATCTTGGCACGGTTTAGCTGTCAATTTGACATTCAACTTAAAATAATAAAGGACATTATTTGTATTTATCCTATTTCCTAATGTTCACTTGCAGTTTCATTAAACGAGACAAGGGGATCAATGCACCAACGCTGCAAATCTATTGGACTGTGACAAGTTCTGTTGCTGCCTGTTTATTAGAGTACGTGGCCTAACACGTTGCAATGATTGTCGGTAGGATGCGGTTTTTGAAATGTCTTGTTCCTCAGGGGTGAATTTCCTTCAGTACACTTCCCAGTTTATTTTTAAAATAAAAAAAAACCAACCCAGTGTTTATTATTTCAATTACTACCACAGTTCTATTTAAGAGAATATGAATTAGGCTCTAAAAACATGATATAAATAATTGAAGTACAGTTGTGATATTGAGGGGGATAAATAGCTGGGTAAAGTCCTGATTTGGTTCACATTTGGAAATCAAATGTTCCTGGTTTGACTGAGACCAGGATTTTTCTCTTGGTATTTGATAGACTTTTCAAATCAAGGATGTTCTCGTGATAATGATGAAGTAAGTTGAAAATAGGTGCGATCGCTATGCAAAATCTTAAAAAAGCTGTACCTAGAGGGTGGGCAACTGTGTTAATTTAGATTAGCAGGTGATATTAGTGATTAGCATTTGTTGCTGTTCTGTCGGGGATTATTGTCCTTTTTAAAATGTGTGTTGGAAGTGGGGAACCATTTGTATCCTGAGCTTCTTGGGAAACGTGGGAGGGGGACACTGTGCCCTTTTCAAATGCAATTCTTTATTAAAAAATAGCAAATTTGCAGCCTCTTCTATTATTGCTGCTTCTTTCCCTGCCCTCCCATCTCGTGTTTTCAAATTAACCGCTTACTGAAGTTTCAACTATGACCTTGCAGTTCTGTCGCAGAGAGTATTGCTAATTGCTTTAGTACAGATCTCGTGTCAATTAAGACTGCTGTCTTAAGTCAGATGTTATGTAGCAAATCTGAATTCAAGAAGGCTTAATTCTCATGTATTTTTTAAGAAAAGTTTGAAGTCTTAACATCTGTTCCTCTGCTAAAGTGGGGTTTTTTTTTTAGCTTCTTTTTAAATTGGGGAAGGCCAGAGGACACCTGGGGGTTTAATTCTTTTAACACAGCTTGGCTGATCATCTCTTCTTCCAACGCCTTGATGACTAAAGCGTACGCTGTTGTATACAAAGCTGAATCTGTAAAATGTGTAAATGAATTTAATCACCTTCAGTCGCAGTGTTTTGCGAAGTATATCCAGGAAGAGAGTTTTGTGTTGTTTCCTTTTTTTTTTTTTTTTTAGTGAAAACTTGTAAATAAATTTTGAATTTCTAAGTTAAGCACTCTCTAACTCGCTCCATATCTGTGTGCAGTGGGAGGATCTCAGAACTCAGCTTCATCCTGTTCCAGAGTTACTGTTCTTACATGAAATACATTTTTTCTCATCCCTGTGGCACTCACAAGTATCATTGTTTGGCTATGAAGCTGTATTTTACTTTATGTAGCAAACTTAATGAGCCATGGTAACACTGGCCAGAGGCAGAATAGGATCATGCTAGCCTTTAAATTCTAAAGTCAGTGGATGTATTATAAAGTATTCCTTAAAATAATCTTTGTGTAATTCAGAGGTGACAAGGGTACAGTCTGGATCAGTTGTTTTCATATATTTGTCTTTCATGGAAACCAGACAGAATGTATGGATGGCATGCACGCCTTTTTGTAATTTATATTTTTAAAAAAGCAGTGGTAGATGTTTCCATTGCTGATGCGTTGGATTGGAGTGCCGAGTGATTTTGAAGCACAGTTTGCGTATGATTTCCTTTCCGTATGTATTGACTGTTCAAACACTAGTTCTTACTGAAATAAAAGCCAGTACTAAAGATTACAGGCAGCAGCTTTAAAAACAGGTAAAAGTGATTTAGCCCATCTTCCTGTCCTTTCAGAAAGGCTGAAGTTTCAGTCCGTGGCTTAAAGCACGTGGGCAGATCATTTCAAAGTCACTTGGACACATGCAGTAGAAAGGAGCAGTGGTTCTGTGCAGCGGGAATCCCGTATTTCAGGCAAAACTGGGACGTGTTTTACCTGGCAGATGAAAAACAGTGATTCAAAGCGGGGCAGCAGCTGAAGATCAGGTCTCTTATGTAATGAGCAGGGATGAGGGCAGAAGGGCAGCCAGCAAACAAGCAGAGAAGGAAGGCGTGTTGAAACAGCAAGGGAGTAACCACTGCTGCTGCTTCCTCGTGTGGCTTTGAGCTGTTCTGCTGCGGCTGAACAAGGTGAAGCACCTCAGACCTGTCAGGGGCTCCAGTTCCTCAGTAACAGGATAGAATCATGGATTCTCAGACTGGTTTGGGTTGGAAGGGACCTTAAAGCTCATCCAGTCCCAACCCCTCTGCCAGCAGCAGGGACACCTTCCACTACACCAGGTTGCTCAAAGCCTCATCCAGCCT